CCTAGCACGACGCAGCATAGGGATTTCAATGGTAATTCCTTTATAGCCAATTACTAGCTCCCCTAATTATTTTAGAGCAAAAGTCTAAATAGGTTTTTTTCAGAGAAAAAAATACTGCATCTGTTCATACGATTACTTATGATTTTCCGTTTTTCAAAACCGTAGAAATCCACAAAAAAAATTAGATTTTTATAAATCAGTGATGCTTTGGAATTTTTTAACAAACTACAAGCGCATCGCATCTAAGTTATCGTTGTTTGACGTCGAACGATTTTCATATTTAATTCTGTTCCAACTATCCGACGGAAGAAAAAGCGTCTGTGGAGTAATGTTTTTTTAGAGAACGTAATGCTGCATCTGCATCAGATACTATTTGTGTATCATGTTCCGGAACCAGAGTACATAATCGAAGAAAAAGAAATTGATTTGAGGAAAAATTGTTCTTAAAGGTATATTCGGCGGGCATAAAACAACTTCAACATTTCCTCTTTCTCTTCATTTAAATACATGATAAACAATTTTATGATTAACTAATTTATAAACAAGTATAAATTTATTTAATACACGTCAAAATAATGAAAAGTTATCGCTGTTTTTTTAGTTTATTCCAAGGCATATCTGATTTATTGTAAAATGAACCTTTTTATTTTGTCGATTTCTACGGTTTTGAAAAACGGAAAATTATGAGTAATAGTATGAACAGTATTTTTTTGTCTGAAAAAAACCTATTTGGACTTTTGCTTTAAAATAATTAGGGGAGCTAGTAATTGACTATAAAGAAATTACCATTGAAATCCCTGTGCTGCGTCGCGCTAGGCACCACCCTGTATAAAAATATTACTAATGTATTACTTTCTAAGATATCATTCCTACTTACTTCCTATATAGGGATTTACAATAATGACTTTTTGAGATTTGGACTTGGGTAATGAAGGGAACAATTTCCGAAACAAGAAAAACTGGTCTTCAATTTTTGTGGTTCATAGCACAGATTTATTTAAACAATTATCACATCCGATCAAACTACGGTCCCATAGATTTCTAAATTTATATGATAACGATTTTCACAGGTGCGCGGATGTAAGAATGGTATTTTTCTTCAATTAGATGAACAGTTTTCGATATTTCGCATGGCTTCCGCAATGTAGCCTGGTATTTGCTGCGTTTTCAACCTTCCCCCATTTATCTAATTATATATCTGAATTCTGATCTAATTTACAACAAAATAAATGACTCATTGTTCATTACAAAAAATGTTTTAATAGATTTTCGGAAATTTTCCAATTCCAACACGACATTCGCCTGATGGTTTACGAAATTAGTTTGTTTGGCTAGCCGTCAAACCTACAGTGGAATTATCAAAAGCACAGGTAGATTAAACAATTATCAAAGTCCTCGTGTGGGATCGAAGAGAGATCAGCGCATTTTTGTGGGGCACATCAGTATTGTATTAGCCACCATCAAAAAGATCTTATCGCAAGCTAACACAATCCCTTTGTCGGTACCCGCTTCCGACGTCCCGTTCACCCACAATTCGCGCATTTAAATGAATTTTGCTAAAAACTCTCCACAAAATAGTTCTCAATTTTTGGGGCACTTCTCATAGCTCTAGTACATTAAGGGCGAAGTTCAGCACTGCGGCAATGCCACAGTCTGCTCTTCCACTTAACCCCATGCTCTTCCACTTAACCCAGATGAAGATACCTTTTGGGCGCCCTAAGTCAACCACCCCTCGCAGACGTGCGCCTTGTAAAATGAGGTTAATTTCGTACCTAGGAAAAAAATTAATTTTCTCCACGCAGTTGTTGTGTCCGTTTACAAGATCGTTCCAACGGCACCATTTTGAAAACAATCTGAAAACTGATGGTGAGTAAAAACTTCAAACTCGAATTGCGGGTGAGCGAGACGTCGAAAGTGGGTACCGAGAAAGGGAATGTGGTGACCCCCGCCAAGATCTTACTGATGGTGGAGTAAAACTTCAAACGCAAATTGGGGATGCACGGGACGTCGGACGCGAGTACCGACGAAGGGAATGTGGTAGCTTCGACAAGATCTCACACGAGGACTTTGACAATTGTTTACTAACGACATGCTGAAATAAAAAATTATCACTTGTAATACTACTAGTGCTTGCTATTTCCGGAAACTTTTCGAGCTCACAAATATTTGAACTTTCGCAAAATACTCGTGAGCAAGAAAAAAATTCTATTCAAGCACTGTGGTATTCGGTAAGAAAATTTCACACCATAGTAACCCTCAACGAAAAAGTGACGTTTTATGTCAAAACATTATTACCTTTTTACGTCAAAAAATTTACGATAAATTCCTTGGTTGCCATGGAAATGTGACACGAAATCCGCATTTCATTGGTCTATAAAATTGCTGGTTGAAATTTTCGTTGAGATTTGTCACCTAAAGTAGGTATGTAATGTAAGACACAAGATTATCAATTTTTGTATGAACAGTTTTTTTAACAGAGCTGCTAGATTCAAGAAGGTGCCGACAACAAACAATTCTTTATGTTTATCTATTATAGGTACATCGTCCAAGTTGTACATAATTTTTATGTAATGGATATTATTAAATTGCTTTTTGATAAGTAGGTAACAATACACCTACATCAAATATATGAAAAAAATGTATGAAACGGGTCTAAAAAATTAAAACGTTGTTACTCCTGAATATTACATTTATTGACATTATCGGTCAATTATCGTTGGTACTAATAGACGAATAAATGGAAGGCATTGAGATTCTTTTGTTACTGGTCTAATAGGGTCATAAACCATTGTATATAAGTATAATGGTCATTAGGTGTTAATATTTTCCAGGTAAAAGTGCTACCTGAGTTGCCTATCGTCATTGTATGGAAGGTATTGCATTTCTTCCGTCGCTATATTTTTTATATAAACTTTTGAGTAAAAATTACGTTTTATTTGATAATTTGAAGCAGTTCGTAATATATTTTTTTAATCCACTTAGTTACTAAATAAATTGTGCGGATTTACTTTTTCAATATTTTTTTTACTAAGGCCAGTATTCGCGTTCTTAGTAAATTCAAGATTATCATTTATACACGACTTAAATTATTTTATCAAAAAAATAAATCGCTACATTTAATGACTTTCTATATCTCTATCAATTTCCGATAAGACCTCTAGTTAGAATTAATATTTGGGCTTTAAAAATTACTCAAAAGTTTCGACTTTTATTGCAAATTTCAGTGACCATTGTGTGTTGCCTATCCTCTATCCCTAGCCCCCTTAAGTAGGTGGATGTCAATTGCTGAATTTCCTACTGGCACCCTCTGCCAAGTGGGTCTACGTTGAGGCCCATCTTGTGGAATGTGGTGGTGTTTTCAATCCACGGTGACCAGGTATGTCGAAAAATATACAGAGGGAATTTTTCTTAAATGTATAGTCCATTTTTGAGTTTGATTTTGAGTTAGGACAAGATAAATAACTTAACAATTTTTATAACGACTATATGGATTCCAAATGTTTTTTATTTGTTAATAGGAGCGTTGCATATTAAAATACGGCATACAAAATCTATGTCAATAATTTAGATTATTATGATTGATAATAGGGACATTAAGGGTTGACTTGAAATTTTAAAAACATGGACTTGCACTTTGAAAAGAAGCTTCTCATATGGGCTCAATGCATATATGGGATAGATGGCTATAGACAACCAACTCGAAATTTCTCTTGAAATCTGCAAAAATTACATGGAAGATTCGAAACATTTTTGTAATGATGTCACCATGAACTTTTCCGAACGCGGATTTAATTAATTTTGCGCTTATTTGAAAACGGAAAGCGTGGAGAGCTATCTAAAAATTGAAGAAGAGTTTTAAAACGGGTTTCATGATTTAATTATTAAATTCTTACAGGAAATCCCGTGTAATGTTGGTTGCCTGCACCTATTTATGCCACGCATTAACATCACAGATTTAAACCATATATATAAGATATGATTTAAACACTACTTATACCTGCAAACTTAATAGTTACTGAAATCTCACATAGAGGCAATACCTGCTTGAATACTTTACCGCGCAACTATTTTTCCTATGCCATCTGCTATCTGGAGTGTTTAAATCTGTGTTAACATGGTCTTAGACCACCCGCACGTTAGTAAGGGTAAAAATGACCCCCCACTTTTTTTTATGGAAATACACGTTTTAATTGACGCACCATGAATTCGAATCAAACAAAATCTCGATGATGTGGGTCGGTCTGTCTGTACTTTCATTTCCGGCTAAACCGATTGGAACCAAATTTGGTACACATACATCAAGGGCAGAATCGCTCATTTTTAAGGTGTGTGGGTGGTATCATTCCTATCAACCAGAGCAGTTCAGCTCCTTGGAAGGATGTCTCTTCAATAGATATTTTTCGTGCCATTCTGCTTTTCAGAATGACTTTCATTTCATTTGAAGTTATTGAAATTGACCATTAGTTTTAAAACACCCTGTAGAAGGCGATCAAAATTTAAAGCATTTTCATTTAAGATCAATTCATGGTTTTGGTCAACTTTTTGAAATCCAAGGCAAAGGGGTCATAGGTACAGGGCTCAAAAGAAGAGCAAACGTCAAAAATTTGGAAAAACCTTGAATAACTTTAGATCCTTTGCCGCTGGGTGTAGGGAAACGTGGTATCAAAGGACGTAGATTTTCATGTAGATTTTTAAAATGCAATAAAAAAACAGGGTGTGTTCTATTTAAAATATTAAAGTTGCTATTCACCTCCTAAAATGATCATGATATTTTCTTTCAATAGATCATGAAAACTATGTTGGAATGCAAATGTTTACATTTATACTCGGATTTATATTATTATCAATGACGGCTCAAACACTTTGAGTTAACCGTTTGCGTTAAACAGCCTGCATTCCAGTTTGATTTATTGAGAAATGGTATAGCGCTGATGAATATAACGATATGTGGTGGGGCCCCAACGTACATTTTACCAGTCGCCGTCCCAGCCTACATACAGTGAATTACCAGACATATTTAATAAAACAAATATTACATTAGAAAAATAGGATAAATTGTATATCACATTATAAATTCCACAACTTTAGTTTACAAACTTTAGGAACATTTCTAATCGTCAGCGAAATTCTTACTTCTCGCTCAGCGATTTGTCCTAGCTTATAGTTCTTGCATTTACTTAAATTAGCACATTTGTCTGTAATTTCATCTTCTGTAACTTCACTTATGGAATGTAAATGTTTAGTGTACATATCGTCTTGCAAAATAATAAGACTACGAGGTTCTAATAACAAGTTGCAAACAGTATCACGTTTATCTGTGCAGGAAAACTCTAAAATTGTATGTGAGCCGCAACTTATTGTGGCAATTGTGGGATAAAATAAAGGGCCATCGGTATGTGGCATTATACCTTGGTTCGGTAGGTATTCATTTATAAGAACGTGATTTGCTTCTTTGTCACCGTATACTTTAAGATCAGTGATTCGTTTCATGTACAGTTCAAGCCACGCAGGTATTTTTTCACATATCATACCATTTTTATGTGGAACACCTCCATAGTCTTGCAACCTACGATTAGACAAGTGTGTCCATTTTGGTTTTGGTACTGAATACACTTTATCTAAAATATGAGTCTCCTCTTCTTTGGTGATGAATTCGGGAATGTAAAAAACAGAAGGTGGTGCTTCCGGAACAAAGAATTCGTGTAAGTGATCCATATCACGGGAAACACTCAAAGATGCACCAATTAAACTTGAATTGTTTATGAAGTTATCTATTAACCTTTAAAGTTCATACCAAACTTTCCATCTTTCAATTGTGCAAATTTTAAATTCAATATGGCGGTGCGACAAACAAATCAATTCTCATACTGCCAAATTCCTTATTAAATTTTTTGTCTTAATAAATTCGCGATTGATCCTAAAAAATGTACATTTTACTATTAGGTACATATTAGCATTTAAAATTTAAATAGAGCACAAATGCATTGTCAAAACGTTTAAAAATAGTATAAGAAATACTGTCTTAGTATGTCAAATGCAATATTTTAGATCTTATAAGAATTTCCATCGCCCCACAACTTTTGTCAAACGTCAATGTCAAATGACTAATAACAACAAAAAGATAACCTATAAAATATGTATACACTTTTAAGCAATGATGTTACATAAACTATTTAAAAACGTACGCTCGATTGCGTCGTATGGAAGCGCAACCACTGTTACACAAAACCATACGCGTTGTCTGTATTTAACTGCCAGTATGTTAAATAATTTAATGTATTTGAATACCCTAACCTTCTTCGTTTAGGATTGCAACATGGTGAATACGAATGGCAAGATCCAAAGTCAGAGGATGAAGTGTAAGTACGTATTAATAAGAACTATGCTAAGTATATTTCTACAACTTTTAGTGTTAATATTGTGTATATAACAAAAGATGGTAAGAAAGTACCAGTTAAAGGCAAAGTAGGCGACAATGCTATGTATTTGGCACATCGTTATGAAATACCCATGGAAGGGGCATGCGAAGCTTCTTTAGCTTGTACAACCTGTCATGTGTATGTACATCACGATTATCTATCTAGATTACCAGATGCCTTAGAAAAAGAAGAAGATTTATTAGATATGGCCCCATTTTTAAAGGAGAACTCTAGGTTGGGTTGCCAAATTATCTTAACTAAAGAATTAGAAGGAATGGAGTTGCAGTTACCACAAGCAACCAGAAATTTCTATGTTGATGGACATGTTCCCAAGCCACATTGAATGTGACCTAGTATAAGTAATATACTGTTACCTTTTTTTGTATACAGGGATTTCTGTACATTTTATTTAAGGCTATTGGCTTGCCACATAAGTTTTAAAATGTATATGATTAAAGTAAAAGCTAATGTGATCTTTGAATAGATACTCTGTTACGTTTGCAGATTTAATGGAAAGGTATTACCGCCCTGGTATTCATGTAACTTTGTACAAGTAATGACAATGTAATTCTAGCCTGCATTCCATATAAGACATAAAATAAATAAATTAAAATGTCTGAAAATTACAAAGATAAATGAATCTTATGTATGCATGTACAATTGGTAGATAAGGAGTATTATCTCAAGATCTATGTACATTTCCATCCGGTCCGTGTGGTGCAGCCGAAACGCACTGAAACCACGCCCACTTAAAAATTAAATTTTTCTTTGCCACTCAACATCTAACAATAATATGGGTCTGTCATGACTTGCGTGAAAGGCACTTGCTAGTGGTTAATATAGGCATGTCGCGCAGCTGTATTTCAGAAAGTAATAAAGATGAAGCTTTAGAGCAAATTTTTTATATAAATGTTGCTAATTTAAAATGCTAGGTATTTATTTAGTTTCAGACAATCACTGATGAAAGATGACCAACAGACAAACAGTATTTTCTCAAAATTATTAAGCAGAATTATAAATCCAAACTGTCTTAATTGTAGAAATCTGGAAATTTAGAAATAATGTTCCTTTCTTTTTTTTCTCTACATTGTGATAAGTGTAGGTGGATGAAGGAGAGTTAAGTTGTCATAAAAAATATGCCTGACATTTTTTTCTGTTTCATGAATATTCAAAAACTTGGATAGAGTCAATTGAATTACACATAGGGTAATCTGTGCGTACGTGCATTATAAAGTTGAGATTGGTCAAATCTATAAGTAATACTCAATCGTAGGTTCAAATAATCATATGTCTGGTTCAAATCCATCAGATCGCGTGTTCGACAAGCGTGTTATATACAGTGACTGTATAACAATGCGATCAAAAATGAGTTGCTGTCGAGTCATCTTCTGAATTTTTGTTTACATGGAAAATTGTACTTAACTCGAACTTCCAAAGGCGACTGGACATTCACTCATATTTGATCTCCCAGTACAAACAGTGTGGCTATTAATACTCTGTACGCAATGTTTTTTTTTTCAAAATTACCATTGAGCTGATTGGTTTAACCAAGTTGGTAGATTTTACTATATGGTTACATTTTCAATAGTATTACCTACCACAATTATTTCCAACAAGACGATAAAGTCATGTTTGCTATCCAGTGTATTTGGTTAAAACATGGTGTATCTACCACAAATAACACCACTGTTTGATCACACTGCATAGCAGTGTTGTGACAGATACTTTATACTACGAGTAAAAAACAAAAGGAGAGAACTTTACATTAAAAGGGGACTTGACGGAAATGGACAAAAAGGAAGTGATAAAGGTGCGAGAAGAGTGGGGAGAAACGCATCATTATTGGCAGTGGTGTAATAAAACACAGCTGACATCGTCTCTTCTGTTTTATGATAAGTCAAGTCGACATAACAGACCAGCGCAAAGGAAGTGATATTTGGACGACTTCCGTCGCGTGTTATGCTATTTCCCACCACCGTTATATTCTCTCCTCTTATTTTTTACTCTTATCTTTTATGAGTATCTAGATACATAGATTTAAAAAATTGTATCTAGATACATTTGTTTCAGTGTATCTAGATAAGATACTTATATTTTGCACTAGATAACATGTAGTAGAAAAAAAGAAGTCTAGAAGGTCCTGGAATTGAGTTTTAGTGCAAAAAGGACTTCGAAACAAAAATTCAAATTAGCGTTCGAATGTTACAATAATCGTTCACCCTATTTCACCGAGATCCACTCATGCATGTTGCTGTGTTTATTTCGTCCGGCAGGATAAAATTTTCGGACATCCTAATGAAGATGGACAAGGAAGGTCTCCTGTTTTGTGTTATTAATTTGTTGTTGGCTTTGTTTATATACTACATCAAAGGTTGTTGGTCTATGTAACGGCATGGAAATTAAGCCATACGAGAAAGCGGTCAAGGTTGTTTCTGTTTACATTTTTTAAACAGAAAGTTCCTGGAATTGTTGGGTCTTTATCTGTTATCAAATGTAAATGCTTAATTTAATTGACAGGTAGATGTGACTTATCACCTTTTCTGTGTAGTTAAGGGAGCTGAAATTTTATTTCTTGTAGAATTTAAGTTTGGATTTATTAATGTCTAATAACCAAATTGATTTAGAAAAATTAATCTACCTCTATTTCCTTGACCTAATAACGTTTGTTGATAAGATAGTTTTGTTTCTCTCTTTGTTGTGAACTGTGTATGATTGGTTGTTGTAATTCTTCGGAAGAAGGATTCGCCTTAAATAGGACGTTAACAAGAAAAGCGTCGCTTTTTGACATAGTCAACCCAGAACTACGTTTCTTTGAAAATTTAAATCAGCTTTTTGCTACGTTCAACACCAAGTTACGTTTCGTTGAAGAATTTATTCGGTTCTTGCGAGTTCCATTGTTGATTATTTGTTTTGAAGCCACGGCCCAGTATCAGAAGACTAATTCGTCCAACGTGCGCAAGCGCCTCGGGATGTAATCAATCTTGGTGCTCAGGTAATAATACTGGACTTCTCTACCTTGGTATATAATGTATTATTATATTTTGATTAATTAAAGCCACCTTTAGAAAAAGAAAAACGACAAAACACTTATTCTTTTTTTCTTATACCATCCTTCCAGTAATTATGCAAACATTTTGCACAGGTTGACGACCCCTGACCAATAGCCACTGTCTGTTTAGTTAAGTTGCGGGTTGATTTGCCCGGTAAGATTGCGTGAGGGGCTAGTTGTAGTTTTGTTGCCTGGGTTCAGGGGATATGTTTTTGTTTCAGGATGTACTAAAGTTTACAAAAGGATTTTAAAAAAATTATGAAATCCTGTCATTCATTGAATTAACATAATGACATTTCATCTTACAGATGGGTTTGGATGCTATTTCTTGGTAAATATCAAATACCTAAGTATTAAAGAAAATAACTAAAGCTACTTTCCAAATGTAAATTTTTCTCCCTAGCTTTCCTTGTACCACTCTACTCAAAAAGTTACAGATTGTTGCAAACAATAACAAAATAATCAGAAGCAAAAAACCGCATCTGGAGATCTTCAATCTTCAAACCTGATACAATAAAAATCTTGAAAACAAATGTAACTAGTGCAATGTTCCTTTAGGGAAATGCGTTAAAAACAGATTAGGAAAATTTTGTTTTCCATCGCATGTTCAAAATTACTTTTATTTTTGGTTTAGAACTTATACAAACAGCACAAACAGTGAATTAACATGTAACTAATTTCGTTCATCATCACTGCCAATTTTCTTAGCCTCCTTAATAATCTCATCTAAACGATGTAAATCTTTTAGGGAAATTTGTCCGCTTCCCCTTTCTTTGGGTTTCGGTTGTTTAGGATGAGGCTTCCATCCAAGCATGTTGATCACCTATAACAAACATTAAATAAATGTGGTACTCAGTAATAGCATACAAAGGACGAACTTGAAACGTAGCTGGTATAGTGTAACTTCCTTTTTGCTCATCAAACTTTCCATACAATTCCTGATAAATGGCCGCAGCAGCGAATTGAGTGTCTCTACTTAAATGTAATTCTCGACTGATTGCTGCATTGTTTTCTCCCATCCCTTCAAGAAAGCAATGGTTATAAGGTCAAGATTTTCTAAAAATCAACCTTTTAAATCCCACATTAATTCGAACATTGATGGATAGGAGATTATAATTTCATCTGTGTCAATAGTCAACATAGTAAATCCTGCGGTATTTAGCAAACCTCCAATGTCGCGCACATGTGTAAAAGGTGAAATATGTGGAGATATTCCACCACGTCGTTCTAGTTCAGCTAATTGTAAAGATGAGCGTAATTCATACAGTGTATCACCACCGAATACTGCCGCAATGAGCACACCATCTTGTTTAAGTCCATGTAATATTCTTTTAAAAGCGCCTGGCAAATCATTAATCCAATGTAATGTTAGACTTGAAATGACAAGATCTAACGAATCTGGTTCAAACTAAAGCATTAAATTGGTAATAATTGCGTAACACAGTCGGTCTACTAACTTCGATCCTTTCTTCATTTATAATTTGTTTACGAATTTTAATGCCATCTTGTACCTCAATATCCTTCAAGTGTTGTGCATTGCTATCACATAAAATTAATTCTTCAACAGAAGATGGGGAGACGTGTTTGGCTACGTAACCTCTACTGGTACCCAAATCAGCGGCTAATGTAAATTTCCTTTTAATGTCGAAAATTCGATCTGACAGCCTATAACCAATTTCACTCTTCAAATAATCATACAGTTTCACATCCGAAGCAGACACTGCTCGCTCTCGTTGCAATCGTTTTGCATTTTGATCAAAAACATGTGCTGCTAATTCTTCATTATTCCTCCGTAAGTAGGCAAACGTGCAAAAGGACAATTTGCTTGGAGGATTTTTGAGGTTTAACAATTTTTGAAGAAACATAGTAGAAGTTTGAACAATAGGTACTCTATTTTCAATCAATTCGTCCGTTTCTTTCTTAGCCACTTGGTTGTCATCAGCAATCCATAAGGGAATAAGCGTAACAATTTACAATATAAATTGCGAAGGAAGTTGTTTCTTTTAAACATTTACATAGTTGAATGAAAGTATAGAGAAACTAAGGTTATGACCAATCATTGTCATGTAAAACTGTGTCTCACGCACACGGTATCAAGGTGCATATTATGGGTACGTTCCACTTAACGACCACGACGCCCGTCTTCCGTTCCACATAACGACCGTCAGATATGACGTCATTACTAGCGACCGCAACGAGCCCACGGCGCTCGCCTATCGTACCTGGGTCAGCGTGGGCGTTCTAATTTTATAACCTTACATTCTTGACAGGAGACATTTCTAGAGACATTTAACTGTCAGACACTGATTGTTTGAACACGCATGCGTTACAAATTTTTCGTTTTCGCTATGGAGAAAATATAATTACGTGTTTCAGAACGTAACCTTGTGGTGGACATTACATTATGGATGTTCTACATGCACAAACTGGTAAGTATATATGCTGATACGTGAATGTTAAAGCTATTTGTTAAGGAAAATTCTGCTTTAACACAATTTTCTTTATTGTAGATCTTATGTATGATTATGATAGATTATAAATGGTAATGCAACGATGGATGAAAATGAGAATGCACGTTAGTTTTGAATGAAGAAGAGAAATTGTTTTCGCAGCAGCACTCCCAGATGAAATTCTGGGGAGAAGAGTTCATTATCATCGTATTAAGTATGGCCGCAGCATTTATGATAGAAATTCAAAAGTCGTTTTCAATATTTTAAAATTAAAAATAAAAAATATTTACCAACTTAATGTGACTTTTGAATTCATAATCCACCCCACTTTGTATCCTTTACGCATTACGAACTCCTCAACGGCGTCCATGTTGGAAAACTGTTCACTCACGCGTGACGTCACATCGTACTCAAAAGCGTTCCACTTAAGGTTTCGCCCACAACGCCTCTAAGCTAGTGGAACGACAAAACCGCGGTCGTGATCGTTACGGGCGTTAAGTGGAACGTACCCTATATAAAAGCAGTCAAGGTGACATCATAATGGTGACGGCACTACAACCTACCTACAGCGTTTCCCAAATAGGCTTCGTATGCGCGTTGTCGTTACTTGTATTTATTTTGTTTTTTATTGTGTTTGTTTGCTCAGTAAGTTGTATTTGTGCGGTTGCTTGTATTAAAGGTGGAGATATTACAGTATGTTAATTGTGAGTCAGAGTGCTGTTTAGGTTTTTGCGTTTGGGTTGTGATAACGTGGCGTGTTTCTGAGAAGAAAGAGTCTTGTGTCTTTTAGCTGTGTTAGGATTATTATTACTATTTTGGTGAATAAAATTGTATATTTCAAAGATAAAAATGCTGGTTAACGGTTAAGGTTAATATCTTGTGTCCCTTGAAGAACTCCTCCCGGTAGGATTGAATACTGGACATGCCAGCTATGACTCGAATGATCTTTTTTGCGCTAAAAATATTTCAGAGGCCATAGCTGACGCTCCCCAAAAGCGTATACCATATCTTATATAAGAAGCAACCAGGGCGTGGTAGGTATTAATGAGTTGAGTTATATTTAATATAGATCACTTTCTAAATGCATAATTTAATTAATTCAATTTGGCTAGAACACCATATACAATGTTTCTTCCAACTTAAAGAATCGTTGATAGTTACTCAAAAATTTGGTAGTGATCAACTATAGTTATTATTTCGCTTATCTTTGCTATATTGATGATAATTTAGGAAACCTGAGATACTGTGTCTTTGATGTGTTAAAGTATAGTGAATTTGAAAAAAACCCTGATGAAGCACTGTGAGGATGTTGCAGGATTGCTATAGAATTATAATGGGACATTCAGCGTTTTTAGCCAATAATCATTATTTCGATATTTTTGACGTTGAAATTCATACAGTGTGTTGTTTTAGCTTGGTTTCATTTGAATATACGACAAGGACTGCGTTTGTATTATGAACAAAAAAAATGGGTACTTAAAATTAGATTAAACAAAAGTACGCCGAGGCATCCCATTCCCACAGGCAAAAAAAAACAATTACCACACCAGTGCCTTGTTGTCGAACGTCGACCTGCAAGTTCAAAAATGTTTGATGTGCCACTTTGTATATCTGCCCCGACTTGGTTGTGTGTTGGTAATCACTGACAACTGTCAAAAGTAATTTTTCATATTTTGAAAATTTCTTCATTTCTTCTTTTATTTACCCAAGTATAGACTTCTTACTGTGAAAAAATGGTTATTCTAAGCACATTAAGGCCGATACTATTGCAACAGATAAGGACATCTAACGCCGGTTTAAATATGCATTACATAATCATGGAAGATAAAATATTTGATTTTAGTAAATCGGTGTATGTCCGATCATAGAGTTTTCCCTTACCAACCCTCACGATGGCAGTGGAACAAATTTAAAGACTACGCCCATTTCTACATCCTTCTTGGCGTAATTCCTCTGACCCTTATTACCGTTGGTGCTAACATCTTTATAGGTCCTGCAACCCTTTCAGAAATTCCAGAGGGTTATGAACCGAAGCATTGGGAATACCATCGCGTAATTATGTCCGAATAGTATGCTTTATTTTAATGAGGGCGCTTTTATTTTTAGAGTCCTATAAGTCGGTTTATGGCTAAGTATATTCTGACGAATCCACAGCAAGACTATGAAAAGTTTTTACATCACTTATACGAAGAAAATGAGAAAAGAATTTTAAGGTATGATGCATCTTTGTATACTATAGACTTACAACATGCTTGAAGACTTAATGTTCATCAAACACCACAGACGAAAATGTATGATCAGATCAGCCTTTATCATAACGGTTAAAAAATTACACAAACTTAAATTAAGTTTGCAGTGTATTTGTTTCATTTGCTTTATTTTCAACTCTATTCCCTAGTATTTTTGCTGCTACATGCAAGTACGTATATTCTTAAGTCATGTAGGATGGAAATCCATATTAAAGTGAAGTAGGTACTCAATAAATGTCATTATTATAGTGTATTATATCGTTATGTGTAAGGCGACTATTTTTAAATGTCATGAAATGAATTTTCACCAACAGTCGCCAGTCGCCAACAGGATTAAAGTAAAGTTTCACACACGTGTTCCATCATTTATATAAGAAAAATACAAGTCCAGACAAACTTACTATTGTCTGTGTTTTCATGTAGGAAACTCTGTACATACTTTAAACAAATTAAAAAAGTAATTGTAGACGATTTACAATTTGATTTGAGAATAATCTATCTGATACAACTAAATACCGATCAATTTTACACACCTTACAGGGGTTGATTCTGGCCTACCAGATCAGCATAGCTTGTAAAATAAATAAAATTGGATTGCGCAAATACCAAAGCTAGGTTACGCATGCGCACATATTTTTTTTTTCTCCTGCATAGTTGATCGAGGTGTAAGAAATATTTACCACACACAGAAAACCGAACATTGATATGTTCTTTGTAACAAGAATGATAAAAGAACCACATTTTTTGGAGGTTTGGTCAGTTTTTGGGCTGCAACTATTTAGCCTATTAGTCTACGTAACTGCAAAACAATAGCGACCTTTATAATATCCTTGAGAACCTGCGCACCAATTTTCAAAGCGATTCGACGTTTCTAAACAAAGTCATCAGACAGACATACAGACAATACAAAATTATAAACGATCTCGGGGATTGTTAATAAACGGTAAAAGTGTAAAGTTATGGTACATAAAAATTGATTTTTAATTTTTATGGAAATACGCTAAAAATGGTTGAAGAGGTTTGAAAAGTTATTAAATTAACGTTTAAATTTCAGAAAATTGGAGAAGGAAGTAAAAGAGAAAATGAAAGAGAGAAATGATTATCAAGCCTACTATTATCAACCCGTTATGGCGAAATATCACAGAATATCGAGAGAGACAGCTGATAAGTTAGAAGAAATTCGTGGTTCTTAAATTTACTCATACTGTAGTCATTATGTTGTAGTGATGTATTTCATTCAAGTGGAATATACTGTTTTTGAAATGAAATCAAGCTTTGTTACTGCCCATTATATATTTTAATCGGTCACATAAGTATTTTCACTAGTTGACTTTTTCAATCACCAGGGATTCTCATATGCGACCTACACAAAGAGTACATTTTTTGTTATTTTACAACCGTTCTTAATGTCTACCCTACCTATTTTAATTGAATTTGGGCGATATTCATAGTGTCTGTGACAGTTAGTTTCAAAATGTAGGAACTTATAGTGTGGCAGAAAATCGCTTCAAGACGATGGTGGCTTTTTTAACCGGTTTACATGAAAAATGAGTACTGAATCGCGTATCCTCATAAGCGGATTTCATTGCTGCTGTGCAAACTGTTTTGACTAATATAATTATTATTTCACTTTTTGCGTTTTGTAACTGTAATTAATATAGTCGGTCGTTACCAATTTTTGCGACAGAAGCAAACGAATTTTTAAAAATTTTCCGCCTACTTATAGGCAACCAACACAGCTGTAACATAGACGTCGGTAATGCGATGTACATACCTTAGAGAAGGAACGTCTAAGCCTAAGCGATGAACCAGGAATGATATGAAGGCCGGTTACTATATTAGTACATCCCTTCCCGGCGCGGACGGCGACATACACCCCGGCACCGTTTTCCCGGCGATTAGTGCTTTCCCCGCATTGGTTATCGCGGCTTTTTTCTTCTGTTTTTTTTTTACATAAATAATAATATTGTAATGTTCCTAGGGGGGTCTATCAAGCAGACACGGAAGACGTTGACTTACCCTATACTTACCGTTGGCAACTCTGGCACGCGGCACTTTTGAATTTGGATGGCAGTAGGCTCGATATGGGTGGCACGAATGGACTCCTACGTTGTGTAATCGGTTCTTTTATGTGTTGGGACGTGAGACATAATGAGGAAGGGAATTAAATAAAAGACAGAACTTTTGTGCGTAAGAAATGACAAGATCAAGTAAATATATTAACGCACACACAAGACCATGCCAGGGAAACCTTCTACGGGACTAAAACCCTGGCACAGGCCACACAAATACATGAAATAAATCACCTACAGCAATAAAATGCAAGAGAAAATACACATAAATAAAACATCTCAAATGGTATGATAAAAAACAGATAATCAAATCAAATGCAATTAATCAAGTTCATAAAAACAAAAAATACACAAGACATCATAAATGCAGTGGAAAACATGATAAATTCAGTACAAAAACACATCAAAATACTTGTACGATCAATAGAGATAATACAACTCGTTAAATAAACAAATTGCATGTACATAGGAAACATGTAAATGGTGTGGCTCTACTCCATCCTTCAGTTAACATAATTTACCTAATTTACCACGAAAAGTATGTACATGTGAGAATGCCACTAGTCAATAGCAAGTATTCAGGTGAAAATCGATTATCGCTCAAGCAGAACATATTTTAAATAGAGGAAATGTAAATGAGAGGGCCCCCACTCGTATTGCTAAGATGTTAAGAACTACAATCCGCACATAAGCAACAGATACAGCGAAAGATCTAACTGCATTAGGTACCTACTCCACGGGGACAGAATGACCCACTCGCACACACAAACATCGAAACATCAAATAAGAGAGCCCCCCTGTCGTATAGCTAACGCTATAGTTGTGCACGTTGTGCAGGATATTTTAGTTTCCATGACAGAGCCATCACAGACCAGCCTACTTTTCCTGCCACTTTAAGGTCGATTCTCACTTTCGTGCAAGGCACGTACTCGGCACAGGCAAGGCACCGACTCGGCAAAATATCTATATTATTGAATCTTATGAATTTTTTGGGGTGTAATTCACACTATGCGAGCAACGACTCGGCAAGCTACGGCCTTTGCATGCAGCGTTCTTCTGAAACAATATTTGCCGGGCATGTACCGTGCACGTTCCGACAAGTGTGAATACACTCTGTGCAGGTCACCGACTTTCGTTCATTTTTCATAGTACAAGAAAGGTTGAAGGGTCAGCAAAGGAACACTTTTTCAGCGGAACAAGATGAGATGCTGATTGAATGTGTCCAAGAAAATGATTTCGGTCATAAAAGATACTTCTTATGCATTTTATGTACACAAAAACGTATTTTTCTTTTTCTGCAATATGTACTTTCTTGTTCTTCATCATCTAATATTAGACCAATTTTAATTAACGTGAAAGTTTCGAACATTTTTATAGTTGAAACTCATGTAGAAACTGCTTACCTGCGGCAAGCGTGCCGCAGTGTGAATTGAACTCAAAAAACTTTGCCCGTGCCGGTTCTTTGCACGAAAGTGAGAATCGGCCTTTAGGGGCCGCACCTGTCACATTGCCAAATGCCTATAATGACTCCTACCATCACTGAAAGAATTTCTAAAGTATAAAAATTGAAGTTTTATATTAAAATACGATTTTGCGGGGTAAAATACGAAACTAGTCAGTCAAATGACACTACTTGACCTAGTGAACATCAGCATTGATATAGATTAAACTCAACCCCCAGCATAATTATCACAGGATTTGACTACAAATATAAATAAATAAATCGAATGTCAAATTATTTATTATCAACTTATGTCGATTAACACTTTATAAGAAATAAGTCTTAGGTTTACGCACAGAGAAGCGGCCACGCAGACTTTTCCCTTGAATTCTCTTGGGCAATGGGAATCGAATTGTCGAATCATGGAATTGTTTAACTTGTGGTCTTCGACAAGCAGATGCTTTGATTGCTTCAACTTTGATGATCTAATAACGAATCACGTTAGTACGATAAATGGTTGTTCAAAACTACATACTTGAATAGAATGGGCTCTGGCTCTGTGTCTAGCACCCATATCTCTGTAACATTGGGTTACAGCTCCAGAAACACTCAAGTCACGATATTCCCTGTACATATTGTGTGTACCAGATCGCGAATCGTAACGCAACCAAATACCATAATTCTTGATTTTAGTCGGGCTCTTCTCGGAAATTTCTTTGATTTGGATAATTTCTCCGGTTGACTTCTTGAACTTCTTCAACTGCCGTAAGAAATACCAAAATCTGGACTTGGCCACAATACGATCGGGCGCAAAGATTCTCATTTTATACAAAGGAGTGTTCTTTTCATTTTCACCCGGGAGTTTACGCCCGATGACTTCGAATTCTTTCAACTGAAAAATTAGAAAAATTGACAGTGAAAACACGTGTTTGTAATACTTCATGAAATTTCTACATTTGGGCCATAATAACTACATACAATCAGTGAAACAGTTCAAACGGCTTCTCAGAACCTTTCTAAGGACAATTTTTGAGGAAAAAATGTTATAATATACTCATAAAATATTAACAAACCTCTCCTTTGGCTTTCATGGTTAACACACTACGTAAAAGGAAACGGAAGTTTGCCGCGGTTGTCTGTCACCGATGGCATTGCCATGAAGTTGGCGTTATAATGCGAGTTATACAAGGCATCTCATAAAAATTGTCATTCTCATATCAATTGTTTGTTCAGAGGTGACAACACATTTATGGAATTCTTATAGTCAATAACTGAGTTTTTAAAATAATATTTTACTCATGAGCGATAGTAAAAAAAAATTTCTTTAAGTTTCGAAATAATTCACAATTTATTTATATGATTCTTATTGACGAATGATGGTGAAGGATTTCGTATTTTTGTAAGCCCTTGTTGGTATATAGCTCTACTAAAAGTTACACAATCAAATGAACAAAAATTAATATCCAACAAATTTGCGAAGAAGCCCGACACGTCACTTAATATTGCCAAAATATGCGCGGTTCTGTTACTTCATATCGCATTCCTCGCCGTTTTTGCATGACACATCGTTTTCGTATCGACCACTTTACCACCTACCTACATGAAAATGGACTGCTTATCGGATCTTCTTTGGATTGCATTTCTCGTAACGCTCGTCGTTGTTTTTACATAGAACACTTTTTCGGATCGACCGCCTTTTTACATTGGGGAGTATTTTCTATAAAAATGTTGAATAAATTTATCTTTAACATAACGTTGTAATTTTTAATCCATATATACTATATCGATATCCTATACTTACTAATATTATGGTATACTTAAATTACACATTTTTATACTTTTATTTGAATATGAGCACAACATATTAGTAGAACTGTGGTGTAGTAGCTGTGGGGGTATGTAGAACGTATATTCACGTTGGGACATGCTATTATTGTTTTTAAAAATGAAATTCGGATATCGGAGACAATAGAAAATATGTATTGTAATAAAAGAGCAATATTATAGGTATTGAAAAATAAGTAAAATAAAGTTGCGGTACGTCCTTTCCTCATTATTATCATGGGAAGGAGGCATATAGTACCTCGTTAGTTTTAATGAATGTAATTATTAATATATTAATTGGTATATCATCAAAAACACGAACAGAAGGCGCGAGCGAAAATGATTATACGCAAATGGTACGAGTTACACAACTTGGGGCGGTGTGCCAAGTTGTAACTCATTGATCACAATTAATTAAGAATCAAAATAAAGTGTCAAAAAACTTTTTTTTCGAACGTTTGCGCTTTATTTTCTTCTATTTGCCAGGCAACAAACAAACTGGGAGTCCTATTACCATAAGATCATCTTCAGAGATCATGGCTACAGCTCTGATTTGTTCACACTAAAAACTGACAAAAACCACGCGAATAAACCGTAGACTGTAGAGTATATCATAGCTAAAACCGAGAGTACAGATTTAGCCTTCAGGTTTGCAAATCGAAGAGCATGCCTTTCAGTAAACAGCATCGTGTATGGAGACCTGTGACTAAATAAAAAAAAACGCTCGCTCTTCCAATTATTAACTGTAAATCAAATATGCACCGCTCAGAGCAGAGTATTATGGTTACTCTTTGCTCAGAGTATCCTATAATAACAAGTAAATGACATGCCCACGTTTTTTTCTCATTCTCATTTACTTACGCAAATAAACAGAACTAGGTAATTTTATTTTTTGTTCCATTTTTGGTGATGTAATAAAACAACCAATTGTCTAAACGAAACAGACAAAAACGTGGTGGAGTATTAAAAAATTTGTTGCTATTTGAAAATTTATTGAAATGCAGGCAAACTGTAACTAAATATATATGCATACTTTTTAGGAGATACTTTTCATAAAGTATAATAATATACCTTTTTTTTTTATTATTAAAACGTTTATTCAGATTATAAATTTCACATACTTAATATTTATTAACAGACATCACTGACCTTTACAAATAAACACATGCTGTAATTAAAATCTTTTATTTACAAGATTTCCTTTTAAACTCCCTTAGGACGTTGGCATTATAAAAAGCAAGAAATAAAAAAGTTAAGCTATACAAATCATACCAGCCACACTTGAGTAATTGCAGATTGTAATGAGATCAGTGATACATACAGTTAATGTACTTAGAAATACTGTTAATAGTATAAAAACCTTTTATAAATAAAGCTTCGATTAAAAATTAAAACTAAATTAAAAGATTGTTGGATAAACTCCCTAAACTCGTATTCATTGGGAAAAAGTATCCAACTTAAAGATTAATGAACACATGCATAGTAAATAATTAATTGTGCAAAAAATTTAAAAAACACACTGGTAACAAAATAAAGCAGTCAGTTTATAATATCAAATTTGGCTTAACATTAACTTTATGAAAACATGACGTTTAATGAATTTTCGTTTGGGCCACATTTGAGATTAACTGCAATAGTAGGTACATATGTTCAAGATTGTAACCATGATATTATGCCACAGGAGACTGCTTATGAGATAACGGGAAAATAAATAGATTTCTTCAGAGTATGTACATTTTGACAATAATTTTTTCAAATTGCAAAAGGGAATTGAACTCTTATAATCCCCCATTGGCTACGATCTTGCAAACATGTTTTTGGCACTACGTGATAACAGACTAGGAAGGAGATTCATAAAATGTTATATTAACTAACTTATATACAGTTAGTTCAAAATGACTTTACTATTGCTATTTTCTGCTTAATTTATTATATAGTAATATAATAAAAAAAGAATTTCATTCTATCCTGAATGAGATTTGACATTTGCTGATAAAAGTACATATATAGAAAAAATTGTTATTTTTTGCCTAAAGGCCAATTACACTACACGTATTCTCTTTTTTTTTAATCATTTCATGTGTAAAATAATAAGAAAATTTTGCAATAGTTAAGTTTCTTTTTGAACAGGTGATACTGCTATAGATAAGATGGACTTAGCTAGAAGGTTTGGCAACATAGAACATAAAACGGCTACAATAACAGGTAATGACAGAGAGATTGCTAATTCCTTAAATAAAGATCTCAATAATAGAAGACTAGAAATGAGAACCACTGCAGTGGAGGCAAAACTGTAAGGTTTGGATTTTTGGCACTCATTTTGAAAAGCTAAAGTAAATATTATTTGCTAATGTCTACTCTGTACAGACAAACCCACTCAGTTAATTATAAAATTAAAATTTTGAAAATTCCCCCCTTCCCCTTCTAGGAAAATGATAAAATAGTAATATATCTTATTGTGCGCCATTTCTTTGTTTCTTTGTAATTATTTTTTAAATGAAAATTGACTCACTCACTTGATTTTTAACAGTTTTTATTTGTTTTGTTAGAAAATAGCAACATAAACAACAGTGTAAAGATCCGTTGCTTTAAATGTAATAGTAAATAAACTTATGCAACAATATAACCAGTTTATGCCACGCGACTTCTCAAAATATTAAATAATCATTATAGTTTGGCAGATAATTTGTTAAATTAAGAAACCTGAAACTCAGAAATAGTTGCTAATAATTCAAATTTTCAATAAATGTAAATTTATTGTTAGCTAATTTTCTTAATTTTACCCAATCTATAATCTATGCATTTTGTCTGTTCACTGTATTAACTTCAATCAGTATTACAATACTGATCTTACAGTGCCAATATGATTGAAAAAGGAATTATTGATTGAATAAAAGTAAAAAAATATACAGTGCAAGTGATCCATATTGTTTCAATTCAATTGAACGTGGTAAAATCAGGTCCTAATAAGTATTCAAAAATATAAAATCATATTTACATAATTATTGTTTTGTCATTTATGACGCATCCATCATAGCGCTACCCACATTTGAAACGACTAATGGCCAGTTGCACGGTCAACATTAAGTATCCCTTAAAGTTAAGCGTAACTTAATTACCATATAGCAACGATTGTCTCAATAATCGTTGCCATAGATTTGAAGTTCGACTTAACTCTAAGCAAGACTTGTTGGTGCAACTGGGCATAAATATTGTACATTTTGTCTTTCTTCATTGCATCTGAATTCAGAGTGGCAACATAAAGTCCATATGTATGTGTATGGCACCGTTATTTTTAAACATTAAAAGAGCTTTGTACCATTTTAGGTTTGTGTGCGCGTTGTAGGAGACAGCCGACTTACTGTAAGTAATAATTTAATTATTCATCATGAAGACTAAAATTTTCGTACAAAATGTAATATAAATAAAATGATCAGAAAATATATTTGCTTTGATGCACCAGCAGTTTAGCGTTTGTAATGTCGAGATTTACCCACAGCCACCGCCAAAATAATTGTAAATATAAGACCGATGAATTCGAGTATAATAATGGCAATGGCTACCCAAAAAACGATGGCAACTTTTTCGCGTACTATATCTAAAACTTTGGTTGTACAACCATTTTCAAAAACAGTCTTAAAGTCAATTCCTTGTCCAATGTGTAACTGCTGAGTACTTTTTTCGCAATCTGAGGAAGTTGCAAGTGCAGTGCAACAACTTTTTGGAATGTTAAAGGTGTTCTTCTCTTCAATTGTAGCGCCGACTAAAATATTCTTACTTTTATTCCAATCAGCCGGATAATCAGCTCCACAGCACTTTAACTATAACAAACATTGATTTAAAAAATTTTCATACGAACGGTTAGGCCAATCAAATTTCACTTCACTCTACACAAATATGTACTTACTCCCTGTTGAATCGCGTCAAACGTTTTTTGTAAACGTTCATCCTTATAGTACTCCTCCTCGACAGTTGATTTAATATTGTAACGTATCATAGTTTCCAATTTATCGCTATTACAATAAACCCAAACGACTGTCGCAATTTGTGCAACAAGAATTACCAGCAAAATGCAGAAGAACTAAAAAAGTCTGTTTAACTTTTATTCTATAACTTAGTCCGTGATATGCTTACCGAAATTAACATGCATTGTGATTCTCGTACTACGCCACAGCAACCAAGGAAAGAGACAACTAAAAGGAGTAATCCTCCAGCTAAGAGCATATAAACGTCTACTTTGTAATTAGCTGCATCAACTGCCATTGAGACGTAAAATGTGTCGTCTACTAGCATCCAGACTGCAAGTCCAATCATTGTGAGACTTATTACCTGAAATGATACAAGTTCATTAAGAGTTATCTAGGAGACTTTACTTTTTTAGGTGTAAGTAATATCTCTATTTTTAACACCAAGTTCTTGGGTTTTTTCCATCTCAGTTAATAAAATGAAGTTATGTCAAGGAACAGAATTCTCGTTTTTATTCTTTCACTTTTTGAGACACACTACTCATCTGTTAATACTTTGTGTAGGAATTTTCAAGATTTAGAAATTATTGGTTTTGGTGTACATAATCATAAATAAACACTGCGCAATAATGGATTATTTTTGTATGTAAAAGTAAAGGCAATTATCAATGTTCAAGCAGTTCATATATATTTCCAAAAAATCGTCACCCCAAATACTTATAAGTACTACCTACAGCGAAAATAATTTTAGGCCATTCTACTACCAAACAATAGGGGCTGTATGCACTAGATTAAGCATGGGCATTCAATTCAATTATTCAATGGCATAGGTTAAAAATTCATGCCAGCTTGTCTCAGATAAAAAAGAGAATTATTTCATAAAATTGAATCTGGCGCAGGCGCATTATCAACTTTGTTATAAAATATTTCAATAAAATTTTAACTGAGAATGGTTGTGATATTAGCTCGGATATTAGTGAATCCTGCAGTACGTTTTAAAAGTGAGGTTAAAATATGTTGCGCAAATCAAATTGAATGAAAAATATTGTCAAGGTCACCTGTTAAAATATACTAACCCAAGCGCAATGAGTTTTATCCTCGGTTTTATCGCTTGTTCTCTCACGAAATTAAGGGTAATCTAAAATTAAGTACGGCTATATACAGAGAATTTTTTTTAATGTATACATTTGTGGTAGGCATACTTTTACTTGATAAGAGTGGAGTCGAGAGAGTAAGTAGTTGGTTTCATATTTCATGGTATTCTAATTAACGAAACAAATCGATTTCTACCCACCACACCACACATATCCCAAGAGTGGAATGCTCTTTATCTGCACAGGAGTAGGTACAATTTATTCATGATTTTTTATTATAAAGTTTACCACAAAATTCCATTACTTACGGAAAGTTTTAGAACTGTCAAGGCTGACCAGAACTCTATTTGCAACTCCAACACTCCCCAAAAAAAAAATTGTTTTGTGTTTGTTAATGCCAAAAGCAAGTCCTTTTTTTAGGGTGGCTCCCAAACAAAACACGTTGGATCCTCAGTTTATTTGGAAAAAGTGCTTGTTTTGATCCCCTCTACCACACTTTTTTTTCATACTTAAGAATTAAGAATCAATTTGAGATCATGGTTTAAAACTTTCCATAATGGTATGGTAAACCTGATATAATTTGTAAAAAAAAAGATTGGGGCTTTATCATATTCCAAGGGTCAAAGGAATAATTGCAGCAATTTTTTGTCAAAATTGTTATAGTTATTGATAGACTCTCGAAAGCTCTGCAGTACACCTTACAGTAAAAAAACATTAAGACGGTTTTTTATATTCCAAGTGCAAAAAGAATATTTGCGAAAATTTCTTGCTGCGTTCCCTAAAAAAATTGCGCAAAAGGCATAAATAGCACATAAGTTACTTATTGAGCATGGAGGCCGATCAAGGCAATGTACGTATCCCGGTTGTATCACAGTTTCGAGGCCGAAATTATATTAAATAAATGAAGATTTTGCTCTACCAACTTAACCAAAATGAGACTGAAAACGCACAAAATTTAGTTCCTTTACATCAAATCAATGCGTTTTGCCGTTTCCCCTCGCATTTCCCCGACGAAATTGGTGATAAGTGCAAATTTTGCTCTCCCAACCTAACCAAAATGAGACTATGACAGTATGAATAGCACAAAATTTAACCCCTGTGCATCAAAGAAAGGCGTTATGCAGTTGCACAATGAAATCGGCGATAAAGATTTGACTCTACCAGTTTAAGTAAAAAGGGAGTATATGCCTGGAAAACCACAAAATCTAGTTCTTAATTTGTATTTTTTTTAAAAATGCGCTAATTTAGAAGATTTTTCGTATTTCAAGTGATAAAAGACTATTAGTGTTTTTGGTTAGAATTTTTTAATATTACAAATGCCACGGAAAATATTCATGATTTCGCCTATACATTATGATGACCCGGGTACGAACGAGGGTTCACACCTCCCAAGCGCGTCCTTTTTTTCCATAATAGATCGCAGTAAAAAGAAGGGAGCGATGGATTGTGACAGGGAATGAGGTAGTCACTTCTGTCCGCACTTGCCAAGTGTCTTTTTTGAATTTTTTTAATAGGGCGTTGGATGGTAGGCACATTTCTTAAGAGGTTTACAAGTTTCTTTAATGGTGTTTCAGGTTCAAAAGCTACCTATAAGACTTTTACCTTTGCGGTTGAGGAGCTATTTGCTATTTTTGGTAGAGTTTTAGTTCTTTATGTGTGTTGTATGGCTTTTCAAAGGCACTGAAACATTTCATAATGAAGTTTTGCATTTAGCACTAAAATATACCCACAAATTTGTATGATATTCACTACTTTACGCGTGTTCTTAAACATTTCCAAAAGAAATACATATAGTTGCAAATACAGTTTGTTACGCCCCCATCAGAGAACTCCTTTATACTGTGTGGTGCTCGTGAGCATATAATATGATGAACTTTTCAGAACTTCAATTTTGACGCAATGGGGACTTCGTTTTATCAAAAACTCTAGAATTTCATGGGAGACATCCACAACTTGAATCACAGTTGCAAAATGTTATAAAAAAAGGAGCTAACTTCACAGGTGCAACTTTTTTTTATTTCCATGGCTCATTTACAACAAAGAAATTAGATTAAAATACTTGCACCTTATTTAAAATTAAAAAAAAATGCATTTGATAAATTGATAATATGACAGTAATATAGTCGCTTTAGAAAAGTGGCAACATTAAATAAAAGTAGTTTAGAAATGGAGAACACTTGCCAATTATTGAGTTGACATGTTTTTTTCAATTGAACATAGGAATGTGTTCACCTTTAAGAAAACTCACTGTATGTGAGGTGACATTGATCATGCAGTTAATATAATTATCCTTGGATTAGTCATTAAAAAATTTAAAATCCTGTAAATGCATTCAACAAGACAGTAAAAAGTACAAATAGGATAGTATGATTAGGTACCGAATAAGAATAATACTTTTGGAGTCATAAATTTATTATTTGTGGGTGTTGTATGTCTTATATAGTTATGACACACCCTGTAGAAATTAGAATGGGAATGCTTCTTACTAATAATGCATATTGAGTACCTACTATATTTTTTTCAGGTTATTACCAATCATTTTAGAGTAAATTAGCGATTTATAATATTAAAGAATCAATTATTTGAAATAGTAATCGAGGGTCTGGTCTGAACCTTAAATTTGTGACCCATACTTACTACATTACACAGAATTTTGCAAAAAAACAGGGCAGGGATCTTGCCAGATGGTTTCTTAAGTGCAATAGTAAACTATCGAAAAGTATCTGTTGGTTATTATGAACTTAAATTATGGTCTGATTTGGTTCCATCTAAAATTAAGATTACTCCAGACAAAAACCACTTACATTAGGCATAAACAGGGAACAGTCTTTACTTCTGGCTTATTTTTAGATATTATGAATATACATTAGAATTTTATTCATGTAGAAATTATTATATGCTTACATTATATAATTGCAAATTTCGTTCTATCAATCAGAAAAAGTATGCTTGGAACCATTTGTTATTGTTGTGGTTATTTGTAAGGGCGAGAGGGGTGATATACTTACAAAAACAATAAGGTTGATAAAGACCATTAGGTACTTCATACAATCGTAACACCCACCCATTATGCTTATTACACAAATACAGTTTAATTAGAAAAAACAGGAAGTTTAATAACACAGACGATTAATTTTTATTTTAAATATTGTACGACCCCCCCACGAAACTCCTTATTTGATAATATTGAGAAACACATTGGTGAACTAGTCTCTATAAAAATAGTATGACGCATATATACGTAAAAGGTGGACTCCAGTTTTGATATTTTGAATCGTCGTTAATCTTCGTTGTAGCAGTCGGAAGTAGGTCCACTCTAATCAAATTTTTAAATCCTGGAAATAGAAATGTGCTTTTTTACATCTTAAAATGTTGCCGTTTACGAAAACCATAATTTCGGCTAATTTAGGATGTGCAAACTTTCATTAAAAAAATTCTGATTTCGGTTGGAATTGAGAATTAATAACAAGTTGCAAGGTGTACGCTTGCGCTCTGTATAAACAGTGGCGGTACTACGAAGAAAATGGCTTCCAAGCTTAGAAATATTGTAAACATTGCTTTTAAATCTTGTGTTATCAATGAACGCTTTATATTTTTAACAATCGACCCAGTTATTTTAATGAACTTAGTTGTTGTTAATACGTTGTGACTGTTGTATGAGTGACTTGGATTTTTGTTAGTGTAGCTACCTTTTGCAGACCCCTCCAAACAATCATGCCTTTAATTTAATAAAGCCATGGCTACAGGTGAAAACAATTCCCCATTTGGTCCCTCTCCTTTTAGTGAATTAACCTTGAAAATTATCAACATGTTGAAGAAACCAACATTAGATTCGAAGCTCGGCGAAGTAAGTATATGAAATTGTTGAGCTGTTGTTTTTACTTATGTCGCATCTATTTTAGACATTGGACAGTTTTATTAGCGAATTGTCCATAAGTGAACGTTACCTGAACAATGGAATTGTTAATATCAAGTTTGCCGAAGCGGGACTCTTTTTAGAAAGTTCGGCTTCGTTGTACAGCAAGAGGGTCGACTTATTATGGGATAATGCGCTGGAATATCAAATGCAGTTGTGTGCTTACAATAAGTATGTTTGAATTTTAATATGATAGTTACTGTCCATTCTGCCGTTGATTGGTGTTTTGCAAATATAGTGTGCTAAGTAGGGCAACATCACAAAACAGTATTCCTAATGAAACAGGTTTGTTCATTTGCCTATTATTAATGCATTGCTGTTATTACTCGAAGTAATTCTCTAGCAGGAATTTTGGCGCCTTAATGACTTCACATGTTTTGATTTCAACTGTCAATAAATGTCAAAAAGCATGAAGAAACAACAAAAACTTTTGAAAACAATTGATTTCAATTTGGAAAAAAAGTATGCACTAAATTAAAAATTGACACTTGTCATACCGTTTTTACTGCCTGCACGTTAGTAAGAGAGGAATTGCGTTGGGGTAAAAAATGACCCCGCACTTTTTTGACGGAAATTCACGTTTTTAAGTACCGGCAATTCAAATCAAACAAAAACTTGATTATGTCAGTCTGTCTGCCTGTCGGTCCGTTTGTACTTTCATTTCCGGCTGAACTAAATTGCATCATGTTAGCCAGAGCAATTTTTTTAGCTCATTAATGCTATTGTTCCCACTTTGTCTGTCTGTACCACTACTAGTCCTCCAGTTTTAGCTTTTTCGTTGTGGTTTCTTTCTTATACGGTGTAGTACAGAGACAAGAATGACAAAAGTTTATTTGGATTGGTCACTGAGTTATTGCTGATTCTGTACGGGTAGTACAGGCAACGAAGACCAACAAAAGCTAAATAGAGGAAAAAAATCATGTAGAAGCCAATTTTGACACATATGTAGGGGAAGGTATCCTGAACATCATACTAAAAGTACTGAGGGGTGGGGTGTGAGCTAAGGGCTTAGACCATATAGTACATGGACTGCTAATTGTAACGAAAATATGGTCAAGGACATCGCCCGGGTATGTGAGTCTCAGGGTAAACTAGTCTGTCCGAAGTTGTCCGATTAGACACGATTTGAGACTATAGAACCTATAAACAAACGTCAGTTAATGAATCGCCTAGATATGCCAAAAAAGCAAACCTATCCATATTTGTGGACGCATAGAAGGATAATCAAGAGTATTTAAAGCTTCCCGTACTACGCGGTTACTATAAAAGCTACTCTTTACGCGATTTGAATGGTGTTTACACGACTTTAGTTTACCCTGAGATTCACATACCCACGACTACAGTGCCCTCTATCCGTGACCACCCATTTTGTATTGAAAGCATAGGGCTAATAGCAGTCCATGTACTATATGGTCTAGCTAGGGCTCAGGGAGGGGAAAGGGGTTAAAGGTCCCTTTTTTAGTTTTTCGTAAATAACTTGAAAACTGTTGTTCCTAATTAAAAATGTTATACCAGAGAATTAAACAGCATAAAATGATCTACAAAATGATATAGCACACTATATACCTATAAGTAATAATAATACTAAATGAGATGAGGAAGAAAAATCTAAATTTTTAAAATATTAGCCGCTACGCTCACGGTGAGCCCGAATGCGATTATGTTCAGTTCAACAGGAGCATTTTCTTGCTAATGGAAGAAGCAAGACTAGACTGATCAACTTAGAAAACGACAAAAACAGTGATCGAAACCATTGTTGCTGTGGGGAATGCTGATTGCTTATAAGGTGTGGATTGGAGAAAGTTGCTGTTCATCCAACCACAGTAATAGTTGGCGAGGATCCTCACTGCTTTGTGACCGTTAGGTAATAATATCTACTTCATGAAGGCAGGCCGTGGGAAAATGCGCTTTCTTCGGTTGCGGGTGACCACGTTTTTAGCTTGTTTTAATATTATAATTGTGTTTACCTTGATGAGGTATGAAGAACATCCTTCTAACACTGGCGAGAAATGCCATAAAATAATATGTAATTAAGAGAATTTATGTAAAATATGTATTTTCAAATTGTTCGCACTTCCAGAAGTTGATACCAGCTTGCGTATTTTAAATGGAAAACCCTATATAGGACTATAGGTAGGTATTACCTATTTCATTTTTAGATTCTAGGTCTAGGTGATTCTATACAGGCCGATGAACTTTAACAATTGTAGAAATGTTCCTTGATATTTGTCTTCAAAATCCAATTGTGTATAGTTTTTGATTATCTATTAAATCCATGTAGACTTCTTTGTTGGTTTTTAGTTGTATTGATTTTATTAAAATATCTTTTTTTCCCTAGGAAACTTTGTCTTTGGTAGCGTATGTATGTAGTTTCTTGCGTTTTTACGAATTAATAAGGCTATTTCTTATTAAAAATAATGATGTTTACATTTTAGAAATCCGAAAAAATGACATAAAGAGTAAAAATGGTTTCCATAAAAAAAAACAAACTTGATGGTTTACTGGAGACGAAACGTCAGACTTAAAATTTTAAACCTGCATTTTCTAAGTAACTTTAGTAAAAAATACAAAGGATTTTGCATTCATTTTTTTCCCGATATCTCTGACAGTAGTCGGAATTTTTTCTGTTTCAAAACGTCATTTTGTTAAGCATCAAAATACGCAACTTTCCCAAATTTAAACTACCTACCTATCTTTTACAGTTCCCGAGATCCCCATGGTGGCCTTCGAATTTGAATCAACCTGTATAGGTGCACTCCTCATGTATTGTGTCCCAGATAATGTCCTATACCTAAATGTAGCTATTTTGATATATTTATTTTATAGCATATGTTAAATTGACATTTTAAAAGGTTTGAATGAGTAGGCTAAGCCGTTCTTTAACCGTAAGGATAGATAAAGTGATCACTTTAACCGTAAGGGTAGATAAAGTGAAACAAATGATTGTGCATTCTATGCCATCTGTCATTTCAAATGCACGTTATAAAATGAGGTTGAGAACATATGACAAATCTGTTTCTATAGAAACGATCGCGACGACAGAACCTATGCTTACTATTTTTGACGTCCCTAAATTAAATTCAGAATTGCCAGAAGCTTTACAATGTATGTATGGTTTCTGCTATAAAATAAAGCTTTGTATTATACACGACGATAAAGGGAAACTATCCATTAAAATGCCCCTTTATCCTCTTGTATAATAAATAACTATTTAATTTTTATATCAAAAATATTATCATCAACTTGTAGATTAGAACATTGCTACTAATCTTTAAAGTATCTTAATTAGAGGTCGAAATGTTGTGTTTTAGAGTTAGTATTGCAAGACAATAATTTTGGATGTGATTTTCTTATTCAAAAACTAATTTACCAAATATCGTTGAGATAACCTACAATATTCATTTCATGCAGTTAAAAAATAAAAAACAGAATTTTTATTTACTTATCTTTAAAAAATGCTTGGAAAAATGATTACTGCACTCAATCGATCAGATTGTGTCATAGTGAGCCCAAAACTCAAAACTATTTTACTACAATGTAGTTATCACATGCAAATAATCAACTTTTACTGTCTGGACGATGTTTTAACCCAGAGTTAATACAGATCACATGTTTGTACAACACGTTTTTGTAATAATCCAGCTTTCTTCCAGCTAAATAATCAAATAATAATAAATGACTTTATTAAACAATTGCTATATAGCCTGTCTAAATGGCGGAGTTCAGGCAGGGATATCATCCGTGTCTGCTCTTCTACTCAACCCTTCATTTATTTAATGTTAGTATATTTAATTAGACAGGTTATGATACATACAAAAGAGTGAAATAAAAAATGGAGTAGTACATTTAAAACTTAACAAACAAGACATTGATGCAAATAAGATGTGGTTTACAAAGTAAGCTAATGGTTTTTAACATGGAAATATACTACATACTTATTATTATTTTAGGAGGAGTCTATACTATTTTTGAATGTATCTGGTACATAACATTTTACATCAGCCGGCAAAGCATTATATACATGAGCAATCTCGTAAATCTAGTAATCTACCTTGTATTAAACTGGGCTTTACTTTTAATCTAACTCTTCTGTAACCATCTCGCATACACTGTGTGCAAGATGTCTATCATAGGAATATCCGAAACCATAGAAGTGGCGACAATGGTCAAACTAGAGAAAAGATGCGCAATTAAAAAGTTATAATCATGCTTTAAAGAACACCAAAAAATTCCGATTACTTCCGAAGATATGCCATGTGCCGGTTTTGTTTTTATTTTTTTCAGATTTTATTTGAACAGATACAAACAAAATAAAGAAACACTTTCTCATTGAGCTCTACAAGATAGCGTTGAGAGATATTCAATACAACGTTTCCTTTTGGAGAAATCATCATCAATTGTATTTTTTTATAAGTACTAAGTAGCATTTGTTATTACTAATCCAACGATGTTAGGCACACAAAAAATCAAAAGTTGGAAACTGTCGGGTTCAACAGGATGGTGCACCCACGCACAACGCCCTAAGCATGCGAGAATACCTATTGAACATATTTTTCATTTTCCAGGAAATTTTTCTGACATTCTCGCACAATTAGGGCGTTTTGCGCGAGTGCACCATCTGGTTGAATAGAATAGTTCCCAATATTTATTTTTGTTGTGTGCCATACATAGTTGTATTAGTAATAAAAAATGGTACTCAATACAGTATGTACTTTTTTACAGGTCATATAAAAAGAAACTTGATGATGATTTCTCCAAAACGAAACGTTGTATTGAAAATCACTAGACTAGACTTGTAAAGCTCAAAAAGTGGCAATGAGTATGTTTGTTATTGTTGTTATTTGCAAATCTACAAGCCCATGCGACTTGAGTCAGTCAATTAGCCACTACAGAAGTGCAGGATTGGCTTGATTCCAATCAACTAAAACACAGTCTTAATACAAAATTTGTGTATTAGTTAAGTTCAGAACATCTGTTGACAAATCTGTTCTCTTAAATTGTTATTTTGCTTTTTTTCGTTCAAGATCAGTTATGAAATCACTGTATGGGACAATGCGCCTCAGGCTAGGAGAGTTTTTATATTCCAAAAGAAAGGGAGTGAGTGCTTGCCAACATTGGTTCGAGGTAGAGGTCACTTTAAATCTTATAAAATTATGCCTGTACCCTGCCTATATTTACACTATACTTTGAAATACATCGCCGAAAAAATGATAACAGCAAAGTGTCAGACAGGAGTAGTCATCAATATAATACTTGATACCATACTTTGTTACTACCATACCATAAAGCGAATTGTATCAGAAAACGTTTTTTTAAATGTCTTTTCAAATAACAATCTAACCCTGAAACAACTGTCGATTAATAAATTCAAAAGTCTCACTAAAGAAATTATGTTACAATATTTGCAGAATTATTGAATGAGTCAACGCAATTAATTATTATGATATTAAGAATGTAATTTTTAACGCACCCAAATGGTACATGTCTGCTCTTCAAAAGTCGAACTTCATCTGCCGAAAAACTCCCTGGTATCTCACATCTCGCACATTTTTATCAAAAACGTACACCTTATTTTTTTTTTTTTTTGGTATAGGGTTTAACATCTAAGGTCATATCCCCTTTATACACCAGTTTGTACCACACAACTGTTTCTACTACCTCACATTTCAGGTCACACTTCTTGGTATATACCGACATCTTTCAGAAATTCAAGTGTCCTTTTCATCGCCAGACATATTTTCGTTCCCGTTCGCTATGTAGCGGTACATGTGTAAATTTTCTTATGTTTAACAAAATAGAAATTCGAAAAAACACTTTTGAAAGCGGCTAAACGGCCACCTGTTACAACATGAAAAAAAACAACCAAATTATATGTATTTCAAACACTATATTAACACAAAAAGAAAGACACCATGATTATAATGATGTGATCATTCTTTTAAATTTAATTTTTTATAATCAAATTTGCCATTGTATAAGCAAGGGCAAAAAACAGTATCATGTGTACCTCTTCCCACAATTTTCATATTGATTATCGAACTTTAAGCACGGAATGGATACATCACGAATTGAACCAGTAAATATTTTTTGGGCTATTTTCGAAAATGTATCCAGCGTGCATTTGGTATTTGTTAAAATATATAGAATAAACTTTCACTGCAGATAATTATTGTTAGTGAACCCGGGCAGTATGTCTAAAAATTGTGAAAATGTGAATAAAACATTGAATTTTATTTATATTCGAATTTTCATTACAGATCCCAGAAGGAAAATGAGAAAGAGGCGGAAAAAATTGTACAGCGCATTAACCGAAACAAAAGAAAAAAAATTATTCAAAACGTGGTGGAGAAATTGCCATGTTTGGACGAGTTAATACATGACATAGATCGAAGTAAAAAACTATTAGAGACGGCATCAACAATGCCGGGAAGCGATGCTGTCACTAATAGGTGGAAGGAAATCAATACAAATAAAACTGTAAACGACCATTCGAGTGAAGAAGCTTCTTGTCGACAAGAACCTCCTCAACCTTGCAGTGATTTCCTTTGCAGTTTAAATCAGAGTGTGTCTTTGGACAGTGATGAACGACTAGCATCTTACAATGAGTTAATCATGAATCGTTTGCTTCCATATTTTGGTTCTCTTTGCAATATAAGGGAACCGGAACGTATAATAGGCGGAAATAATCAAGATTGGCTATTACAAAAGTACCTGAAACACATAATGATTAATTATAAAAAATTTTGGTTGGAGAGGCGTGGAGACGATTTCAATTTATTTCAACAAAGAATTCGCCAGATTGATGCCTTACTGCCTAGTGAAGCGAATGCTGTCGGTTTATCAAATCTCTCAGTTGTTAACCTGATCAGGCTACCTGAAGACTTGATGACCGACTATACATTAAATAATGATGTCCATGTAAGAGCTATGATACACGATTTATTGGTGAAGGAGCGACAAATTTCTGCTGCTCGAATTAAGAAAAGCTCTGAACGATGTAGCGAGGCCGATTCTGGTTATCATGAAATGTTTAACGATTCCGACAGTAGGTCCGCTAGCAGGCCCGACACAGTTCTTATGTCCCAACACAGTCTTGTCGATTCTGGAATATACGAGGATCAAATTCCATCAGTATCTAGCTTTCACAGAGATGAATTAGGTATGTTTAGTTTGAGCAGTGTGATATTAGATACATTGATAGGCATATGTTTACAGAGTTGGATACCTGTGAAACTGTTATGCATGTCGAAGAAATTCCACTTTGCAATGTCGCAGCGACGTCTAATCCCGCAGTGCTTGTTGATGCTTGCAATGTGGAAGGGAATCGGGGCGGAAGTGGTGATATTAATAGAGAAGGGGTTTCGCTTACATGTAATCCTGCAGCTGATGCTTGCAATTTGGAAGGAAATGGAGATAGTAATAGTCCGACAGTAGAGGATGTAATCATGCCCAATCCTCAAGCTAATTCGGTCATTATTCATTCAGTGATTACTGTACCTACAGTTAACTCGAATAGTGTAGAACAAAATTGTACATCAGTGCTCACTGCAGAAATAAGTGATGTAACTACCAGTGATCTAACAGTACCAGAAGCTGCCACTGCTCCTAGTGATGAAAAGGATTTAACAGCATCAGTTAGCCAGGAAAATGAATTAAGTGCAGTAAATAGGATTTTGGGAACATTAAATGATAAAAGTGTCACTCCTGAAGCAAATTCTAAAGACAGCCAGATTGGTATAAGTAGAATCATCACCCCAGTGTCTATTACTGTACGATCATTTATAAAACCATTACCAGAGAAGAAAATCGAAACACTAAAGGTACTTAGTCTGCTAATGTATGGCATGGCTTGTATAATAACAAAATGCCTTTGCGTCGGATTTAACAGTTAGCAGGTTGCAGTAAGACTTGCTTTTGCTTTCTTTGTCAGATTTAATGTACCATTTTTTGAGAAATTGCAAATCTGTATACAATATACATCAATTGCTTGATTTGATTTAATTTGCAACCTCGGATAACCATAATCATATTTTGGAATTGGAATTCTGACGATCTCTGTGTTTTCTTAATGGCTAGTGTTTCAAAATTTATGAACAATATATGAATGATGGCATAATAAACTTCGTAGTTCCTGTTCTAGCTAATTTGAATTTTAAAACACAGTGTGTCACATGTTTTACTTATTTTTTAACTACAGGTTTTTTTTTAAAACTATCACAGTAAATCCTCCTTTTGATACCTTGGTGGAACATTGAATAATTAATTTACTTATTACAATAAAAATTTAAGCACAGTTTTTGTCTGTACTAATTTAGTTCTTCTGTTCCAGAGAAAATTGGTTAATGATTTAAATGATGAAGAACTCTTCCCGAAACCAAAAAGAAAATGCGTACCTAGGACTAAATCGTTAAAGACGGTGGTAACATTACTTGAAAGATTCGAACGTTTTTATTTATGTCACTACATCCCAGAAGATGATGAAGAGGGATATCTGTTGGCTATGGATGATGATGATGATGATTCAGCACAGGAGACTCTTATTCCACAGAGTAATATCTCGGATTCTACAAATGGCATAACTTTAGATGCGAGAGAGAACTATATACCCAATAGTATTGAAGTGACCAATGAGGTTACAGAGACTCAAACTCAGAATGACAGTGATAACGAAATGGATTCTCAGTGTTTGTTACCCTCAACTTCTGATTCTGCTAACCCTGTTAGTTGCGATCCAATCTCCAATATCACTCATGACATAGTGGAAGCCAGTACATCCAATTGTAGTAGTATGCATACCTTAAGCAGGACAAAGGCGGTGACCGATTGGAAAAACTTCATCGAACCAAAATTAAGAGGGCTGCACAGAAGTGAATTTGATATACATGATTACGGAGGAAAAATAATTGACGCTCTTCCTGAAGAGGATGCGTTACCTTTTGCTCACTTAGTATCTAATCAGAAATCATCAGAAGTTTGTAGATTTTTTTTGGCATCGCTTCAATTGGCCAACACTTACAACATCGAATTGACTGGTCCGTCAGGGGAGTTGGCTAATGACACCATGAGGATAAAACTATTAACCAAGGAAAGGTACCATGAACATTTAGATGAATACGAAGCGCCATCCGAAAATACCTTCTGTGAAAAACTCGCACGTGCGCAGGCCGCATGTCCCGACAGGCCTGTACATTCTACCCCTAGGCAGTCTAAGAAGCGTATGAGGGTATAGTATTAAGTAGTTTAAGTGCATTTTGTTTAATATTAAAGAATTTCCATCTTCTAAAGTAATACTAATTATTGTAAACGGATCTGTTGTTCTATTTAATCTGTAACAATAAGGTTGACAAAGAAATTCAGGCTCAACATAATCTTCCAATTAATACTGTAAATGCGGTACAAGATATTATTTTTGAATGCCTTAACATGTAAATATGTATTTATTTATTGCATTAATTTGACACAATTTGAGCTTGAATTAAGTTTGTCTTTTATTTTTTTTTATATATTTACCAAATGTGTAACCGCTGTTGTTAGCTCGTTCTTGTTTTTGTGACGAGGTGCTTTTTTTTAAAATCCTTTACTATAATTTTATAAAAATCAGCCAGGAACAAACCAACGATATTGCACACATTTTTTATTACAGCTGGACAGTATTCAAACAGTTTGGCGATGTGAAATAACATTGAATAGAATTTATTCCAAATTCGCTGTTTTATGCATTTTAACTACTGACCAAACATCAGGCTAACTTTGTAAATGTAAATAGAATGACAAATTCGTAATTAGAAGTTAATTTATTTAGTTGATGTAATAAAATGTAAATCAGATTTTAATTTTTATACATTGTTACATAAAATGTAAATCTAAAAAAGCGTTACTTCAAATAAATTTTTACGTCTTCATTGTTTGATTATAAAGAAGCTAAGGTTATTAGAATGTGTAGAGTAGAGTGGGAAAGTATTAAATCGCCTGGTTGATGAATGATGGTTGTTCAATGAGAGGTTTATGATTGGAAATTGGTGCTTTGTGATTCGACCAGTGAAGTTTTAAAATTTAAACCCACATGAAGCCATGTTTTAAATAACAACTCCTAAATATGAAAAAGGTGTCCAAAGAATAAAAAGATTTGGTCACCTAACAAAGGGTCCGAAAAATAAGTAAGAAATTCGAACTGGACGTTTTGATCAAAAAATTATTAAAATTCAGGTTAATTGTGAAGTAAATGTTTGGGAAAGAAAGTCATGAATCTCATGAGTAAACATTCATATTCTAAAAAATTTTTGCATGGAAACTTTATTTAAAAAACCCTGACTAGTGACGATAGTAACTGATGGTCACCAAAATAGGACGTTTCCGATCTCCCATGCAAACCTGTATGCACCTCAATTTTTTTCAAAATCGGTTCAGGCGTTTATTAACATATTTGGTAGCGGCGGCTGAAATAACTAAGTAACTTAAATACAAACTAAATAAATCCAATACCTATACCTTCTATCTTCAACTCCTAAATACTTTTGCCACGATACTTTTCATAACGAAGCGCCCAACTTAAAACGTTCTAGATACAGGGTGTTCATCTACACAGTGCAAATCATTATAACGTAAACGTCAAGACTGAAAACGGATGCTTCGTTATAGGCAAAGTTACCAGAAATAACTGAACAATGTAATTAACGCTCCGCTCTATGTTCTCCAAAGTGACAAGTCACTAAGTTTAAAGTAATTTTGGGTAGGTACATATAATTAGTGCCTAGCTGATCAGGAATTTAATTGGGCAAATACTAAAACGAATTAAATATTCGAACTTTAAAAAATTTAAATTTTCATAGATATAAGGCACAACATTGAAAAGATCTAGAGATCGTTCCACAACTAAAAGAGTGAAAATCGCGTCGGTAATTCGCAATTGCGCGAAATAATGCATGATTTCGAGTTTAGACTAACATTTCAGGTTTCTTGATGTGGTGTATATGGTTTATAAAAATAAAAACGTGACGCCGCTACGGATGTGCACCCCAAGGACGTGTTCGGTTTTGGGCGGTAAACCGATAAATAAAAACAGACAGCAAAATCAGGTTGGTATGACTAAATGCACGGTTAAGGAAAAATGAGCAAAAATAGTAATTCATAATTTATATCATATAAATTTGATTGTATTTCATGTATGTTTGATAAGTTGCGGCATATATTTACTTAAAATGATCTTATAGACAGTATTAAAAGTATTTAATTTCAAACAATTCAGGGCAACCAACACTACCGCATTGAAAATTTAAACGTCAACGGACGAGTTGGCCTTTTGTTAACCTAAAATTTATTATTTTCATAGTTAAGGTCATTATTACGTTTTGGTGTTGTGCTTTAAAGTTTAAATGTAGTTTACAAAAAGAACGGAAAGTAAGTGGACTTTTCTCTTTAATGTATTAATAGATTTGGTATAATTGTGCTTGGTACATTGCTTACATTCAACAAGTGGGTAAACACATCTGTACTTAATGGTTAAGCCGAGGGTTAAGCATTATTCTACTACTAACACGAAATTTTTACTCCAGATCAGTATAATAGCTGCCTCATTATTATAACATAATTTATGAAATCGTTACTGGCATCTTTGACTTCCATTGCGGTGGCGTAAGGTCGTCTATACGTTTATTCAAAAACGCCACTCGTGTGCTCATGTTTTGTACGGTTTCCTCCATGTGAGCCTGCCTTCGCAATTGTATCTGTGGCATTAACGATTCCACTTTCGCAACACGACTTTCCATATTTTTTATTTTTTGTCGCACTGCATCTAAATACGCATCTTGCAAATTAACAGTCGATCGTGCTAAAATTGCAAATAAAGGGATATGTTTTCTAAAATGTCTACTTACTTGTGTCTTGTATTTTCGCAATGTCGATAATGAAAAAACTGTAAAAAGTGTGTAATAAATGAGGCGATTCTAGTGTTTTACTTATCTGATGAATTCACCTCTGTTAAATTGGTCAAAGGAACCAGAATTAGATTTTGATTACGTATTTTGATCACTTTATCATCCTCTTCCTTTAAACCAAAGTAACTGTATAGAAACTGCCTCAAGGAATTGTAATCGAGATTCGGATTGATATCGATTTGCTTCACCTCAAATTCCGGCTTGTCTAAATGTGCATAATGTATAAAAATACGAAACTGAAACAAGTGTGTTTTGTACCGTTAAGATCAAATCTTCGAATTTTAATATTCACTTTGAACGTATCTGTCATTTTTACGTCTTTTGTTTACAATTTTTATCACCAAACCAAAGATTTGAATTGACATAAGGTAAAGTCATGTTTACATAGGCATATTGTTGATAGGACTGGTATACACTGTATAAGACACATCATTTGTGATGAGTGCATGCGCAATTGCAACTGATACTGTTGTATTGCGCCGTCTACCATCTTATTGTACGATTTTGAGATTTTAAAGCCGTAGTGCACCATTCTAAATTGCACGTATTTTCATGAATTTGGAAGAAAAATTCAGATTTCATTGTGCATTGTCACCGTGAATTTTCACATTCAATTTTACATAAATTGAAAGAATAGGTTTTGCTTTATTTCTGAAGGTCATTGTCATGAATTTTTAGATTTGTGTAGTACAGTTCATTTACCTGTAGTTGGCAAAACGCAACCATTGGTAGAAGTGTAAAAATAAATTTGTAACTTGTTCTCCGGCTTACTTTTTTTTATTTATTATATTATAAAAATGTGAAATCAAGACCACACAAAAATATTCATACAATTGTATGAACATGAACGAATGAATGCAGGCTGCCGATTCGGCTTGTTTTAATCAGTTAATTTATAACCTAACCTAACTTCCAGTTTAATTTACATGAAAATGGGCTGCAATCTATCTGAAGTTATTAATTTCCCAGAAATTCAACAATATTGAAAAAAATGTTAACGTGTATTCTCACATATGTTACATCAATGTTTACATGCATTTTACGTGTATTTTACATGTAAAAATTAAAGTGTCTATTGCGGGTTCAAAAAATTTGTTTGTATTTATTTTCTTAGTCCTCATGTCCTTACGTACTTATCGAATTGGTTTCGTGATTCAGATTAATACTAGAGGCACTGGTGTAGTTTACAAATGACGGGTATAGGTGGTAGCGTTTGTAAACATTGGGTTATTTTTACAGGTGCAATTGTACTAATTTTTTGATAACCCCTTAATCCTATCCTACCTGAAAGGCCTTTTTCTAAAGGACTCGAGGCTGTCTTGAATTAGCTTGAAGACGCAATTAACTTAATTCCTAATTACAAATAAAGATCACAGTTTATCATTCAATTTCTAGCGCAATCGTACGACTTTACAACAACTCGCCGACATTCCCGTGCGTCGATTATGCTTTAAAACAGTCTTATTATTCGTACGCCATCCGTTTATGACGAAAAAGTTTGTTGATGTTGAACATTTACGTTTCCGTTGGTCGGTTATTAACAAGTAAGCTATGTTTGGTATATTAACAGTTCTTCACGGTGATAATCAAATGGCATAGTGTTCTTACTTTCATACATTCTCTACGTACTGGAGATCACGGTCGGTACAGTACAAAATAAAATACCTTGTAAACGTACGACGGATTGCTATGAACCTTGACAATCAGCTTTACGGATCAACGCAACGGATGAACTGCCATCTATGAACCCACCATAACGTACTGTACCTGAGAATATACTGAGTGAATTTTTTTAATGAATAGTATGGTAATTTCGGAAAGTATTAAACTTAAATTTAATCATGTGATTAACACTATTAACGACAAACTAAAACGGTCTTTAAATAGATTGATTTATAACAATTTAATATTTATCACTTACTTGCAGTCACATTTATAACACGAGTGCTAATTTCATTATTTATCACTTCGACGTCAATGTTAACCCTAAGTGAGAACAATCATTTTTACATAAAACAATAACAAAAGTGTATCAGCTTTAACGAAATTAAAATAGCCCCGCGTTAGAACATCTGGTAGTGGTTTATGGGATAAGTGGGTATGGATCACTTCATTTAACCCGGCCCCCAACTGGAATGAATTCCAGGGAAGTAGTGTGGCAACCACTACGCTTCAAAGCTTCCCATTGTTACCCCAGGTACTAATTTTTAACGAGGCTGACGCGGCCTCGAGGTGGAAAAACATTAAAGGCTGTTTGTTGACGGGCCCAGGATTCGACCCCGGCACCTTCGTGTTTGTAAGTTAGTGTTCATATCACTAACCTATCGCTTCCTCAAATAACAAACCTTAATTTTGAATTAATTATTATAGACCGGCTATGATGTTATACGGGTAAGTGGAACGAATCGAAGCCACCGTAATATAGAAAGCATAATATATATATAAGGGATAGAAAGCCACACACATGCCCCCACTTCCCTAGTGCTACGTCACTTGCAGATGTGTTCCACACTGACTCCCTGTACTGCGCAAACGCAAGCGCGCTAAAATTTGGATTTGCTTTAACGTGCCACCGTTTGTTTTGTTTATAATACCAGTTTCTGCTGACTTCCATATTACAAACCAAATGTCGCTGTATTTTCGGAAAGAATACAGGGTGATTCCTATAGTACCTGCCACCGTTTGGGAGCGTGTAGGTGGTGCGTAGGGGAGTATTTTGATATAGGACACTTGGGGTCGGAAATCTAAAATAAGGGTGCCAGAGCGAAATTTACCTTCTGGAATTTCGCGCCTGTAGGTAGGCAACCCAACCGGCCGGCGGTGCACACGGAGCGATCTCAGGCGGCGATGTGTGGCTGACCCTTGATCAGAATTTTGTTTAAACCCACGAAATCCCGTCTGCAACGACGCGTATCAAGTGAATAAACACTATGGCAATAGTATAATAATAGTTGGCTAGATGTAGGAAG